TTACATCGAAGAAAGACATTTGTTTTAGGTTTAATTGTAGATGCTAAAAGCACTCTAAAATTATCCTTCGATCTGTTAACACTTCATGAGAAGCCATTTAAGTATGTTCTAACTTACAAATATTCCCAAGATCATCTTGAACTACTATTTGCTTGCATTCGTGGAAAAAATGGTTACAACAACAATCCTGATGTATTGCAGTTAAAATCATCGTTAAAACGGATTCTTCTGCGAAACTCCATTGTTGGATCGAGTCATGCTAACTGCCTAATGTTTGAGCCATATTCTAATGGCTCTATTTTTTCTCTTAGTTGGAAAAAAAGGTTGTGTTCTGTTGATAATTTTGACCAAGAGGATATTGACTTTGAAGAAGTGCTTTTGTACTGCGATGAACTTCAAATGTCTAGCTACAAAGAAGCAATATTGGGATATATTTCTGGTTTTATAGTCAGAAACTTGATAAATACTATTTCATGTAATGTTTGTGCCTCGTATTTTTTAGATTTCTTTAAAAATAATATCAAATTTTTTTCATTTCTTTTACGTATAAAATATAAAATGAAAGCTTTATAAAAAAATTATTTTTACTTTTAAAATAAAAAATCATTGTCATTTAATATTATCTAACAAAGGGTATTAGATTTATAAAAAAGTGGTGAGGGGTTTATTGCCATTTTTTTGTTATTTTGAGTCACTGTGCGACGCTAACTCTTCTTCCGTCACTTCTGTCTTTTCGGTATAATAAATAGTCGTATAAAATTGCTACCGAGTTGCTAGAAAACCACGTTTCTGTCGCTGCGATGATATCTATTTGATGTACTCTTATAAAAACTTCAAACTCCAGCAGCTTGTTTTCTAAAGATGTGGTGTTAGTGTACCAACATTTCAATTCATTACTTTTGTTTTTGCTGTAATACTTTAAGTTTGACAACTTCGTTTCCCCATATCGAAAGGGAGAATCGTTTTTCAAAGAATTATTTAATTCATTCCGTTTAGTTCGCAGTTGAAAATCTAATAACCTTTCTGTTTCAGTTTGATCGGGACTGATTAACACGTTTCCAAATTTAAGGTTCCCCTGTAATTTTTTAGCTGCAGCTAATATTGGATTTCGATAGGCCTTATCTGGTAGTTCTACAAGAATTGGACCTGGTTTTTCTGTTTGAGATTTCAACCTTTTAACATGAGTAGGTTTGATTTCTTCCTTATATATAGTATGAAGAATTTTAGTAATTTGCTGAATGTCATCATTTTCTTTGTCAATTATAGTTGTTTTACTTGATTCCGCAATTCCAAAAACGATTATATTTTTCAAATTATGATAATTTTGCGGCGTTCAATAGAAAATTATGTTACAATTAAGACCGTTCTATGAGAAATGACGTATTTTAACTTTGTTTTCCCTCCAGTTTATTATACCTCCTTGGATTTTGTTGTTAGGACTTTTTTGCTGGCAATTTTTTGTCTTTTAACAGTCCAAGATATCCTCATAAACATAAAACCTTATAAATTCTCCCAGAAGTATACTTTAATGTTTTTATTGGCTCTATGTTAGAGTTATTTTATATTTTTGATTTCCTAATTATTATAGTAAACTTGGTGTTTTTAAATCAATCCAAAAGTCTTTAGTTAAACAAACTTCAAGAACATAAGCTTGGTTCTCTATTCTTTTTACATACTAAAGTCAGGCTAAAACACACTATTTAATTTTTATGACTGACAGGTTGGAATTAATCAGCAAAACACACACACACACTTTATATATTTATCAGTTTGTATATATATATATAGTTTATATATATATAAAGTGATAAATAAAGTGATTTACATTACAACTCTGGCCGACTTAGGGTATATGTGGGGGTGAGGGGTGTTCCTTCCCCCAAATTATAGTCAGTTTTTTAAGAAGTTTAGTCGGCTTGTTGGGTATTTAAATCATTAAATTGTCGGGTATTTTTGAGAGAATAGCCTCTGTAGAATTGCCTCTGTGTATATATACATATATACATATATGAAAACTCCACGGGAAGAAACGGCAGGGTCACATTTTTTCATTTTGAGAAAACTCAATATTAAACTTTAAATTCTATGTAACATTTGAACCATTAGAACAAGTAACAAAAAAATCCAATAAAAGAAAGATTGCGTCAAAGTATAAAAAACAAAGGCTACCATCTCATAAAACAGGGCTTAAATGTAACTGTAAAATGTTGAAATGCTTCGAAATTGTAAAAAGAGAATAAAAATAGAACTGTATTTTAATTTTTAGAAAAAAAGTGTAAAGTTGTAAGGTATTTTGAAAAAGTAGCCTTATTTTTTTGCAATTAAAATTATATTTCCAGGTCACATGCAATAACTTTCATCTTTTTTAAGTGAAGTTTTTTTTAGGACCCTGCTGTTTTTTCCTCGGTATAACGACTATATTAATTTTTTTATTAATTCATAAAATAAATCATTATTTTTTAGTTAAAGTAACTTAATAAAACAGTTCTATCTTCTCTTTTCATAATTTTCAACATTTCAACATTTTACAGTTACATTCAAGCTCTGTTTTATGAGATGTTAGCCTTTGTTTTTTATACTTTCACCCAATCTTTCTTTGTTTTTTCTTTTATTGGACTTTTTTTTTACTTGTTCTAATGGTTTAAATGTCGCCATTTTTAGTAATAAACATTAACCGAATCATCTGCAAGTATTATGAAAAAAGAAGGTTTGGAACTTTTAATCTACGCCTTGATAATACAGAGTAGTGTTTGATTTATGCTCATTAAGTTTGTTTAATAGTAAATTAGTAGGATTGTTTAAAAACTTGTTTTTTCGGGGAGGTAACTATTTGTATATTAAATTACAATTAAGAACTAATTGTGTGGTTTGGTGCTTTGAAAATTTGAGAACAGAAGCCTTCAGAAAAAAATTTATAAACTAAAATTATAAAACCTTAATTAAGATTTTCCAAATATGTATATATATGTGTATATACTATTTCAGTTACTACAATTATTAATTCAAATTTTAAATACTAACCACGCGTGTTGAGGTATTTTGTATACTTAAGTATTTGAAATGCTTCGATACGCGTTGTCAGTATTTTTCTTATCATTAGGCCTGCACATAGTTAACATTCAAAAATTAAGTTATTTTATGGTGTGATTGCAAATATCAAGCCGATGGAACATTTTTTGATTTATTATGTTTATTGGGCCGATGAAGTTAAAATATGCCAATCTAATGCTAATATAAAAGATGTCGGCATGATATCAAGCCAACGTCCATGTGTTATTTGGGTTATTATTGTCTTGAAGTTTCAAACTTAACTTTAAGACAATAATAATGTAACGCTTTTTAGTTTTTGTTTTAATATACGCTTGTAAATTTTTTCTGTTTAAAACGAGTTTTTTTAATAATATTTTCAGAGAATTCGTGCTATCTAACTTTGTAGTTGTAGTTTTTTTTTGGATATTAGTTTGTTGTAAAGATAAGGGCCGTGATATAAAATAAAGAAACGTGTTAGTTTTTTTTTTTTTTAATATTATACATTATAATTTTCTATTCCTCGTGTCTTATATCTATTTATATTATATTTGAAGAACAATTTTCAAAAATGTGATGGAAAAAGTCCAAGTTTATATATTTTAGCAAGAATAACATTTTTTGAGAGATTTTAACGTTTTGTACATTAAGAAGTTTTACAAAGGTTCACCAGGAGTAAATTTTTCTTTATTAAAGCTTGGTTTCCAATAGTTGTAGAAATGTTGTACAACAGTTGTGCGTTTTTGTTGTACAACAATTGTTGCCGAAATAGGTTTAATTCTATCTCCGCAACCTTTGTTTTACAACACAAATTTTGTTGTACAATTGTCGTTAAGTTGTGCAACTTACGCAAGAAAATGTTTCCATTATAAAGCATTATTGTTGTACAACTGTTGTACGACATTTCTACAACCATTGGAAACCAAGCTTAAAGACTAAGCTTGCGGCATGTTTTTGATGTCAATAAAATGCAACTAGGTTGGATCAATGGGTACTTTTATTTTTATTTTCTTTAATAGATGATATTTGATAACTTTTTCAAGAACTTTTCGCTATGCATTGTGGGATCGCCTGGGGGATAACAAAGTAAAAAAAAAATCAAATTTCGCATAACAACTTTATGTACCTTATGTTTAATGTAGTTCTTATTAATTTAAACTTTCAAAATTTATTAAAGGGTTTAAAGACAGTGTTTTAAAGATAACTTCAGAAATTTAGTAAAGGTTTGTAATGAATGAGTTTTCTTCAAAAGGTCTAAAACTTGATAACACTTTCAATTTTTCTAAATGGAAGCTCAGTGACCAATATTTTTTTAAATTATCGAAGAGCTATCACGATTTTAGTAATTTAAACAAAGAAAAAATATTAGAAAAAGTTATTTACGTTTGGAATATTTTAAAATTCCCAGGCAATAGAATATAGTTGTTTTTTTCTGCGTACAATTGTACCTTGTTAGATATACGAAGTTTTTCAACTACAATTCATGCGTTTTTGAAAAATTATGCAATAGAAGTAGATGAATAAAATAATTTTATTAGATAAATTATTCATCTACTTTTTTGAATAGATGTTTTCATCAGTAGTAACAGATTGCTGTCTTTGTATCAAAAAGCTCTTAAACCTGTGTAAAGTAACATTTTTAATGTCATATTTTCTATTTTTTTAACCAATATAGCATAGTCAACGGTTTGAATTCTTTTGATTTAGCCAAAAAAGATCCCTTGAACAAATATCTTGTTATCAAAAGAGTCATTTATGTTTTTTACAAGATCTATTATCCTATTGCGTAAAACTCAAAACAAGGACACGTTTTCAAAATATTGTATTTGAAATGTTCCTTTGAGTCCGAACAGAGTGAATAATATTAGGACATTACAAAAAAAGCGACGAGAAAGTAAAATGTACTTTAATTTGTAAATTTGTTATTTTAATGTCAAAATAAAAATAAAGACTTTATAAGGTAAAACACCCAGTATTCGCCACTTTTTTCTACCCTGCCCCACTAAAATATTTTTTTCTCACTCGTTTTTCAATAAATGATTGATCTTAAATATTTATCGTACAGATGGATAGTTGGGCTATACGCTGTACTTAGAACGAATGACCTCCGATAATTAATAAGGGGGCTATAGCCCCCGCAAGTTGAAAGTGGCGGACACTGGAACGGTCCCCGTGTTCGCCAGGCAATTTTTTGAACCTGTTCCAGTGTTCGCCACCCTCAGACTTTTTAAAAAATGAGTTCTTTTTTTTAGTTATTTGGTATTAAAAATATATTTAAATAATTGTTGAATAATTTTTTTATGTAATGGAAAATTTTTTTGGTTTCTTCTTTGCCATTTTTGTTGCTGGCAGCAACTTTCTTTTAGCTGGAACACTTGGCTTGTTGCGTTTAGCTAATTCAGCAACTAAGCGCTTCGTTTTTCTTTCCTCTTTTGCTTGTTCTTGTTTTTTTTTCAAGCCTAATACCTTCTAGCATTGAGACAACTTTATCTGAAGTCACTACAGATGTGGCATGAAGTTCTTGAGCCACTGTACGAACCTTTCCTATGAAAATTAAAATAATAATCAGGTTATAATAAAGTAAATTTATGACCATAGGCTACATGTGGTAATTTTACAGAGATTAAAAATGGAAATTATAATAATAAAATTAAAATATAGGTAGCCTAGTTAATACACTAACCGATAGCTTTTTTTGGAGAAGGGAACCACTTATGATTTTTAAGAGCAGGACTAATCGCAGGTGGTCTTGCTTGTCTTTGAGGTTCTACCAACATAGGCCTAGTCCTGTTTGGAGGGGCTGACATTGAGGAACACTGTGCATCTGAACTAGAATGAATACTAGGTGAATGAACAGGGGAAACAACAAGGGAATCAACAGCTGGTGCATCCTCTTGGCGATGATTTCGATCAAAGACATATTGGAACCAATTTTGCCTCTTCACCATTCTGAGTGAATCAAATCGTGGCGAATCGATGACAAAGTCATCAAATGATTTTGTTATCCTGTAATATAAATAAAAATTGTTTTATAACAGTTACTAACTAATTTTACCCTGTAATATAGATAAAATTTAGTTTATAATTGTTACTAACTTTTATTACCCTGTAATAGCTATAAATAAAAATTGGTTTATAATAGCTACTAACTAGCTAGCTGGGCTTATTATTTTATATTGATACAAATGTTAGACACTAATACCTAGCTATCACTTACAGGTGAATGTTTGGGCCTGCTCCCAGTCCTTCCATCGTGCTAGTACTTGTGTTACCAGACAAGATGATGTCAGAGGATGTCTGTGTCGCAACATTGACATGAAAAAAATTTTCAACTTGAGTGGAAGCTTCAACACGACCGTCTTGAAGCACTCCTTCAAATATTCGACTGTTTCCGGAGTGGGTTTCTTCAAGAGTGAGCTTGGTATAATCAGGAGCGTCTTGATCAAATGGCTGTATGCCACATTTTTTAAAGGATTTTACTATTTTCTCTCTACTCATGACCCTTGTGTGCACTGGCAGGAACATTCCTGCAAAGGACTCTTTGGTAACGTATTCATTTGGGTTGGCAGCCCTGAACCTATTCACACACTTAGCCCATTCATTTTTCATAGGGCCAAACAATCCTACGTCCAAAGGCTGCATGAAATGGGTACAGTTTGGTGGGATCAATATAAGCATTATTTGCAGGTCTGCTAAGGTTTTAACTAAATGAAATTGCAGCCTCGATTCATGTTTGTCGGACCAAACTATAACTGGTCTTTGTATATTATGTTGAGTTAACCATTGGTCAAATGCATTAGTGAGATACTCATAAAGCACCTGATGGTTAATATATCCCGATTCACTCTTTCCGATTGCAAATAAACTGGATGGAATGGCTTCGTATACATTCATAGGAATACGAAGGTTAGGATAAATTATAAGCGGTGGAGGGAGAGAGCCATCGGCACCAACGTTAGCTGCAAAGAAAAGTGCAAAAAAACCAAAAGTTAGCAAGCAGGCCAAGCTAGTATCATGCTAAGCTATCATGCTCAGAGATATGTTGAAAAAAAAGCAATTTATAGTGCAGCATTAAAAGAAAAGCATTACAGAAATAACATAAAAATGAGCAAAGAATAAAATGAAAATGTACCTAGAACAGTGATTCTTTCCTTTTCTTTTGAAGATGTCGCATACGGTACATTTTTAGAACCCTTAGCAGCTAAAACTTTGGAAACCTTGGGTGAAAACTGGAACCCCGACTCGTCGATGTTATAATTACGCTGGGGTTCCTGAAGGATTTCAAAAAGGTCATGTTCAGAGAGGTACGATTTTAAATCAGCAAACCATTGTTGTATGACAGCTTGTGAGACATTTCTTCTATTCGCACTTAATGATTCAGTCATGCGAGCAACTATGTTAGGATGCTTCGACAGGAATAGCTTATACCTTAGAAAATAATGGCTAAATTAGTCGACTAGGTATAGGCTATTTCTATTAGACTAATTTTATGTCTGTATCAATTGTTATAAGCTTTATTTATTAAGCTACAAATGTTTTATAAAGTTAATTTGTAATGAAAAATCTTATGACTCGTTATTAAAATTATAACATTTTTTTTTATTTTAATTACCTATAGGTCAACTTTTATAACTTAGGCACAACCTACTTACCATTTATTCCCTGGCTGTCGAGTCCCTGATCTTCCAAATTGAAAGGGACGGTCTCTATTTACTTCCATAAGTAACCTTTCATCCGAAAGAAGACTAGTTACCAATGACATAATGGTTTCTTTGGTAACAGGGTGGGCACGTTTCTGTGCGCTAACAATAAAATTCACCAAAACATTTTCTTCTGCTTCAGTGAGGTTGGTTTGTGGGCCCATCTTTTTTACAACAGGCGCTTTACCACTTATTTTGTCCCTCAATGTGGTGCGCGGGATATTGTACAACTTGGATGCCTCTGAAGCAGTTCTTTCACCACTGAAATATAGCACAGTATAATTTAGGTATGCAACTACTTTATCAGTACTAGGCAGCCCTATCCTATGTATTTCTTTTAAATGTATTATAGGCATTAGGCTATTATGACTACACAATAAGCAATTTAAGCATTGAAATTATGTCTATTAATGCATGCTAATTTTATTACCTTTTTACTTCTTCAATTGCCTTTCTAATGCCCTCCTCAGTGTAAGAATCTCTTGTAGACATACGTGAACCCTTATTGGACTTTGATTTACTAGTATTCATAATTCTAAATGAATATTATGTACCTAGGTACTTATTGAAACTATTTATTATAAGTCTTAACTTGATATATAAATTAATTTAATATAGTTATATAGCCCTATTTGGACTGCTTTAGTATTGTTTAATAACTAGGTTAACAGATAACCTACTTCTGAAATAAAAAATAAATACTTAGCTATATTTATACATTTAATAAAAAATAAAAAAAAAAAATTTGTTCCCGATGGCAAACACTGGCAAAAGGGGGGTGGCGAACACTGGACAAATTTAAAACGCCTATAACTTTTTTGTTTTTAAACGAAATTCAACCTAACGAAGACTGGCATATGGGTCAAAGTCCATATTTTACCATTAAGCCCATATACGCCACTTTAAAGAAAAAAAATTTACCTGGCGAAGACTGGACTAGGTACTATTATGTGTTCCAGTCTTCGCCACCCCCCCTAACCCTGCCCCCCTTAATTTTTTTCCAAGAATAGCCCTGGTACAATCTTCTCCTTGTTCTTCCCATCAATCTGGAATAAAAAAAGTGAAATTGAATTGATATTTAATATGTTTTTTATGTAATTGTTTAAAAAGATTTCTGAAAAAAATTTTTAAGGATTAAGGTTTTTTTGTGACACACTTTCATTCAAAAAAATCCTGAGAGTTTATTTATTTAGTTACGATCGTCAAACTTTCGTCAAATATAAAGCAATGATGGGCGTTCATTCTAGACACTATTTCGGCACTTTCAACCAAATAGTTTTTGACATGCATGTTTTTTAATGGAAAACTGGCGACGACTGGAACACCTGGCGAACACTGGGTGTTTTACCCTAGATAGAGTTGTTTTTAAGTAGAAAATTAATGCATGCAGTCTAAATACTAATGGTAAATAATACATACAATACTATGACTAATGGTTCACTCTGTTATAACATGACAATATTGAGCTAAAATAAACGTAAACAAATAGATAAACAATAAAACTTAAAAATTATTATTATTATTATTACACAACATAATATATATCTATCCCAGCGGGCATTTGTTTTTTAAAGTTACGTTCTAAATGTATTTTAAATGTCTTTTAAACGTCTCATAAACATTTTTACGTAAAGAACGTTTTAAAGACGTTTAAAAAACGTCTAAAAGACATTTAGAACATAACTTTGTAAAATAATAAATTTTTTTTTTTTAATAATTTTACATAGAGCACATTAATAAATTAAAATTAATTTCAAAATTCTACTAATTTTTAGGTAAGATACTAATGTCGATTGCGCCAAACGAATTACTAATTTCGATTGCGCTGGCAAATTATTTGAATTACAACGCCATTTATCATATTTAAAAAAAGTAATGATTCATAAAGTATAAAGTTAAAAAAAAAAATCCGTTAAGTTTTTAATCTTTCTTTGACTCCTTTTTAACTCTATTAGCTTTTTTAGAAAAAACAGTTTTTGCGTTTTCACTAATATAGATTATTCCAATACACCCCAAGGCTTCATTAATGCTTTTAAATGGAAATTCCTCATTAACACAGATTGTATTGAAATTAATAGTTGATAACTGTTTAAATCCTAAAAGTTGAGTATCTAAATTGAAAGTTGCAAGATTATTACTGAGTGTGCTCACAGCATCAAACTTTTCTTCAATAGCAAATTCAATCACACGTTTTGATAGCTCAATAATAACTTGACAAGCAATTTCTCTTGACAATTCTAGATCTGCATGAATAGTTGCAAAATCTAACACACTGAATTTGGAACTTGGTAATTCTTGTTCTATTTCTTTTTCATACAACGACAACATTGCATCTACAGCAGGAGGATAAATCACATCTAACGGAGCGTTTCTTGGACAACTTGTTGCTACGCCAACCACCTCTCCAAAATATGTCGCATAAAATGAATACCGAGGAAAACTATTAAATAAAGCTTTCACAAAACTGCTAAATTCATTTTCAAAATTTGGATCAGACAAATGCTTTGAAATAGGATCTAATTCTATAAATGCACGAGTATGCTTTTGAATCAGAATATCTACAACACCACTGCTAGCTTCAGAAACATGATGTACTTTTAATTCCTTTACTTTTATGGATTGCTCTAAATTGCAGTTTTCATTTGTAAATTTTTTGATATATATGAGCTCGTTTATAGATGATGCAAAACTCATTTCTTCAAATGTTACGTCTAATCCAATGCTTTTCAGTTTCTCAATAAAAACCCATACACTTACGGAGTCTCCACCTAGCTCAAAAAAACTACAGTCGAGGTCAATAGTAGAAACATCTGTGTTTAGCACCAATGCTGTTATGTATTTAAATTGATTTTTTATTGAGATTGACATGATTTCTTCTTTTGAAAAAACGATATGATTGTTTGAAGGAATCAGTGTGATCAACTTTTGACGATCTATTTTATCAGATCCTTCAGTATAAGGCATTGTATCCAAAAAAAGAATTTTTGGGATCATGAATGATGGCATTTTACTTCTTAATAGTTTAATAACACATTTTAACAAAATTGTTTTAGGTGAGATGAAACAATAAAAATCTATTAAGTCATTAACCTGTCTAGCTACAACGGCAACTAAGTTAAAAGGATAAAATGATTGTATTGTTTTTTCAACTTCGGAAATATTAACTTTATTGCCTCTTATCTTGAAAAAATCTTTATTTCTACCAACTTTATAAATTCCATTTTCACGAAGCATGACAAAATCGCCTGTTTTGTATACGGTTTTAAACTTTTTTTTCAAACCATTATAAAACGGATTGATATCAAAAAATTTAATATTTTCAGCATCATTAGATAAGTAACCAGGAGATACAACTGACCCAGATACCCATAATTCACCAATTTCAAATAAGTTATTTATTAAATTCCTCTTTGAATCAACTATGTATGCAATTATATTTGGTAAAAAATTTTCGCCAATGTATGTTTCTTTTATGTTATCTACAACAGCCAATGGATTCATTTTACTGTACATACAATTCCCACAAGTTTCAGTTGATCCATAAACATTCCAAAGAAGTGTATATGGTAAACATTTAAAAAAGTCAAGGACTAAACTTTGGTTCAAGTCTTCTCCACTACTCCATACCTCTCGAAGATACAATTCATTTTTATAATCAGTTTTTAATAGTAAAAGTAATGATCGCAAAAGACTTACACTACTATACAACTTTGTAACTTTATATTTGCTTAAAAGATCTAAAAAAACTTTAGTATTTTTAACCTGATCTGATCTTAGAAATAAGCATGACTCTTTCATGCATAAAGCAGATAATGTTTCAGTGAAGTAATCAATAAAGACAAAATTGGACTTTGAACACATCATCTCATTTTTTTCATAATCAAATTTAGATCGAAACCATTCAACAGTTTGAATCATGTTTCTATGAGTAATCTTTACAGCTTTAGGTTTACCCGTACTTCCACTTGTAAAGAGTATACAAATTATACTGTCTTTAGTTATTGGATGAAAACTTTGCTGATAAATATCAACAAAATCATCAGATGGTAATAATAATGTTTCTACACTTACAGATTTAATTTCTCCTAAATCAGTTTGTTTCCTTTGAGCAGCAAAATGGTCATCAGTAATTAAAATATTTGCTTTGATTTGAGATATACAAGACAACATTGTTTCTGTGATAGGTTCTTGCAAAGGACAAAATGATACTCCCAGTTGAATTAAAGCAAGTACAACTGCTATGCGATCACATCCATTAGAAATAAGTAAAGCCACTACTTCACACGAATAATTTTTTAATAACTTGTATAAATTGCGTGATACTCTCTTAATCATTAAACTTAATGTTTGATATGAAACTTTCTCTCCATTTGGATTAATAAGCACTTTATCAGCAACTTCTTGAGTTTTGCTGTAATAAGTAAAGAAATCCTTTTCTTTAGTACATATTTTGTTTATTATTTTTTTTACATCGTTTCTTTCAAGCATTATCCCGTACTCCATTATTAATCCCTAAAAAATTAGTACAAAAGTTGTGTTTTAAAAAAACTACAGGTATTTAAAATTTTGTCGTAAAAAATTTATTTTAAAGTCTTATAAATTTTAAACACAAAAATGAAATACTTACAACAAAGTAAAAAGTATTGTAATACTATCTGTTAAAGGAGAATGCAAATAGTATAATCAATCAATACTATTTGTTAAGGAACAATGCAAATAGTATAATCAATCAATCATTTATTTTTATAACAAAACTGTATATTTTAAACAATCAAGCGTAATAACTTTGATGTAGTACCGTTATTTTATTTATAAATAAAAGTAAATTAGTTAATGAAATAAGTAATAATAACAAAAATAACAAAACTAATTAATGATATATTATTAATAAAAAAATAAAGATAATAATATGATAGTAACTTGGAAAATCAGAATTAAATCATTAATTTGAAGAAATACAACTGACATTATTAACAACAGTAACCACAATAATTCTAATTATAATTATTATACTAATAATAATAAAAAATGATAATATTAATAATAATAACAACAAAAACAATGATAATAATAAAAATACTGATAATAGTAATAATGTCAAAGAAAAACAACCAAAATACTTGTTAAATAAATAATAGTCAAGTCTAAATATTTAAAATGATAAAACAAATTTTTATTGTTTATTTAACGAAAAATAAAATAAAATAAAAATGTGATCTTAGTTATTAAAAAAGAAACTTTGTTTTTTCACTAACCCAGTTAGCAAAGCACTTTTGTTGAACGTCTTTAGGACGTCCTACAGGCTTATGGCGTCTATAAGGCGTCCCATAAAGGTCTTATATATATATATATATATATATATATATATATATATATATATATATATATATATATATATATATATATATATATATATATATATATATATATATATATATATATATATTTGTAATATAGATACAGTGGGGTGCAGAATTATAACCTCACCTGTATAGAAACCTTAAAACTACCTTTTAAAGTTTGTTGATCAGAATCTATTTGTAGATCATTTTTTGAAAAACGTACATGAATCTATTTATACTTTAATTGACTCAATTTATAAAACTGTTTAAAACCGTGGTGCATAATTATAACCTCGTTATCTAAAGCCATCAAAAATAGCAGTCAATTCTATTTTCAAATTAAATTTATTATATTTTAAAATTATAAAATACATTCTAACAAAATGCCAAAAAGAATTACACTCTCCGATGAAGAAAAAGACAAGATTGAAGCCTACAGGTCATTATGTTTCCCGACAAGAAAGGTATATGTAGCCCACATGTGGTCATAGTGCTTTCGTGTGGATTAAAAGTGCAAAAATATATTACAGTTGATGAATGACATATTTGATGAAGTTAAATGTGGCCCAGTTGTGAAACACATAATGCGGTTCACATAACTATTCCACTTAATGTGGCATAATCCTTAAATAAATACGTGCTAAATTTGATGTGGCTATCATATGGCCATACATATAAAACTCACGATCTTGCCTCATTTTGAATTTTAAATTTTAACCAATTGTAATAATTCTATCGCAATGCATTGTAAACTCTAGAATATTCCATGATACCATGTGGCTTACCGTTTTAATAATTTTCAATTCATAACTGTTGTAAGTATGTTTGAGCGATAAAAATAAATATATAAAAGAAAAAGTGCAAATATATAAAATAAAAAACAAAAACCTAGGTATGTTAAGGTAGTAATTTTACTTGTTGTATTATACAATGTGTTATCATTACTAAACTTTGTTTTTTTTTATTTTTATGTTTGATTTTATGTGTGATTTAGATTATATAAAGGCATATTGTTAAAAGAATATTATTTAAAACTATAGTACTTATATACAAGGCCGTTAAAAAACTTTAAATGTTTATAACTTTGTTATAAAAAAATAAATAAAAATAAAAATGCTTGAGCGGTTTTGTAATGAATATATTAGAGAATTGTTGTTCTAAATAAACTTTCCATAAATTTTGTAAATCAGAGTTATACTTAACAAATAACAAATTTACTTAAACAACGTTATATTTTAAAATAGCGGACAATGTTAGCAAACTTCCGCAACCTCATATAAATTGTATAGTAATGCGTCACTAAAAATAAGTATAGGTAAACAAACACACTTTTTTATTGAGGCGTATTATATTTTCTGCATTAATTTAAATTTTTTGAACTAAAAATATAGGTTCTAAGAAAAAATCCCCCCGGAAAAAATCCCCCCAACAAAAAATGCTTTTAGTTTCAAATTAAAAAAAAATATATCAGAGCTTTTTGTTTGTTAAGTATTTATCTGAAGCCAAATAAGTTGCAACATTTTTTTTTTATTATTATTATTATTTATTTGCCAGAATATGTGCAAGGTAAATTTACATTAAACATATTACCGGCAGGACTTCTAGAAGATCACAGGATTTTATCATGAAGCCCTTTACAATCTACATAACAAAAAGAATATACTAATATTCTTCACAGTCTATATAATAAACAAAATAAATTATAAATCAAAATAAATAAAAAAACAACAAAAATAGTCATAAATATTTTGTGTTGAAAAGATAATTTGTTTTACTTTCCGTTTAAAAGAAAAATAAGACCATTTAAAAGAAAAAATCGAAATTAGGTAAAATTATTTTATTCCGAAGAAAAGGACCACGATAAGAAATACAAAACTGGTCAAATTTAGTTTGGCAAAATGTCTCTTCGATACTTTTACTGGCACAAAGATTATATTTGTTTTTAGGTTTCAAATTATAAAGATTTAAGGTGGTTTGAAAGTTACCTATCAAACCGTAAACAATTTGTTTCTTGTAAGGATGATTGCCAAAAAAATTTATTAGATATATCTTGCGGTGTTCCTCAAGGCTCTATATTAGGACCCCTCTTATTCTTGATTTACATTAATGACTTAAATAAAGTTTCAAATCTACTTAGCATTATGTTCGCTGATGATACTAACCTATTCATTTCTGATACTGACATCTCCAAACTGTTTTGTAATATGAATGACGAACTTAAAAAAATAGCTGGTTCAAGTGTAACAAATTTAACTTTTAATACTAATAAAACAAAATGGAATATTTTCCACCCGCTTCAAAAAAAAACGTTACCTACCCATAAATCTGCCTAAAATATTTATTAACAAAATTGAGATTAAGACGGAGTCTGTCATAAAGTTTTTAGGAGTCTATCTTGATGAGCATATTACATGGAAGCAGCATATTGATCACGTATGTACCAAGATTTTTAAAAATATTGGAATTTTATATAAATCTAGAGATTATCTAAATAAAAAAAGCTTGACCCAACTCTATTATTCGTTTATCCATAATTGTATAAATTATGCAAATATTGCTTGGGGAAGTGCTGGAAAGAATAAGTTGAAACGTCTTTTTTCTCGTCAGAAACACGCAATTCGTATTATTAATTTTTCCGATTGTTTTACTCATTCAAAACCTTTATTTAACGAAATGAGAATACTTAATATTTATGAAGTGAACTTATATAATACTCTATGTTTTGTATACATGTGAAAAAATAACATATCTTCTGACGTTTTTAAAAATATTTTTACTTTGAAACCAGACAATAAGTATGCACTGAGAAATAATAATTTGGTAAATCAAGTTTTATGTCGAACCAAGTTTAATCAGCTTTGTATTGATTATCGTGTACCTAATCTTTGGAATAAAATTATTTTGAATAATTTTGATCTACCTTCCTCTTTTTCTATTTTCAAAACTAAGCTTAAAAATCTAATTCTTTCTATGGAGAACATTTTTCTATATTACTAGTGTTATGGGTTTGTCTACCTATTATTAAAACTAAGTTTACCTAAGTATATAGTTACATTGAGATTGTACTAAAACTTATAGCTATGAATAGATGTATAAATATTTATTATTTGAGTTCGTATTGTATATTGCTTTATATTTTATATTGCTAGTATCTATAAATTTTCAGGTTTATTTTATTTTTTTCATTTAGTATTTGAAAAAACAAAAACAAAAAAATTTTATTACGGTTTTTATAACATGGTTTTGTAAAAATTAAAAAAAAATAAAATAAAATAAAAAAATAAATAAATAAAATAAAATAAAAATAATAAATTATGTATAATTGTGTATGTGTATCTGTGTATCTATGTATTTATGTATACTGGTACATGGCCTACTTAAATTACACGGCCTGATTTGTTGCATTTTCCGTAAAAAATTAAGAGGCCAGTTTTTTTACGGCTTAAGTATAAAAACTTAATTTTTGTTATGGTTAAGAGTCTTGTTTGCACCATAATTATTTTATTTTTATTTTATTAAAATGGTTTAATAATAGTTAGATTTTCTTTGAGTACTTACATTATTTTGTGCTAGATTTTCTGTTAACTGATTGCCTGCTTCAGTTTATTCCAACAACACAGAATACTGAAATAGGCTTCCAGATAACTATATCAACATATACCAACATGCTACTAAAAATAATCTCTCATGTTGCTTAGATTGCCCAAATCTCTCCATTGAGCAAAAAAAAGGTTTGTAGTTTTGTATTTTTTATAATTGAAATAAGAAGAAATACATTTTTGCTAGAAATGTTTATTTTGTCTTTTTTGGAATTCTTTTACTTGATCTTTTTTAAATGAATATGTATTTTTTTTTTTTTTGCAAATTACTATAAAAAATATAATAATATTTTTTATATTAATTTGCAATACAATACGAGATCTATATTTGATTCCCATTTTTGGTGGTTTTTATTTGTAAAATTTAAACTGCTAGATCAAATCTTTAAAATTTGTTTTGCAAATTTTTAATTAAAAAAGAATGACTGCAATGTTTTATTAGAATAAAAGAAATAACATAAAATACTAAAAAGATGGCAAATAAAATTAGACAGAGGTTGAATTGAATATATAGGTTCTTCTCTTTATAAAGTAATGTTTATTGATCATAAGTTTAACATCAAAATCTTTTTGTTAATTTTTACCATTTTTACTTGCTTTAGTATATATATTTGTGCTATCTTCAGAAATCTGACAGTTGTATTTATGTAGACAACTAAGCAATATCTTGCATAATATTTTTTAAGGATTATCAAAATTCTGGTAAATATTTTCTGGGAAATTCTGTCAAAATCTTTTTACTTATGCACATTTCTAAAAGACTCACAAA